GAGGTCATTAGAGGTCATTAGAGGTCATTAAAGTTCAATTTTATTTTATTATAGGAATTTCGAACCCTAATTAGGCGCGCACCCAAAAAATTGGAAGATTTGAACCAAAAATGAAGGCAGGGCCCCCCCCCCCTACATCAAATGTGCCAACTCCACAATCCCCTTTTCATCTTTTGTTACCTGGTGATTGCTCTAACGACGAAATTTCTAGTTTAAGAGGAGTATACCGGGACCTAAATACTTCTTGATTAAGAGGAGTATACTGGGACCTTAATACTTCTAGTTTAAGAGAAGTACACCGGGACCTAAATACTTCTAGATTAAGAGAAGTATACCGTGACCTAAACACTTCTAGATTAAGAGGAGTATACCGTGACCTAAATACTTCTAGATTAAGAGGAGTATACCGGGACCTAAATACTTCTAGTTTAAGAGGAGTATACCGGGCCCTAAAAACTTCTAGTTTAAGAGGAGTACACCGGGACCCAAATACTTCTAGTTTAAAAGGAGTATACCGGGAACTAAATACTTCTAGTTTAAGAGAAGTATACCGGGACCTAAATACTTCTAGATTAAGAGGAGTAATCCGGGACCTAAATACTTCTAGATTCAAGTGGAGTATACCGGGACCTAAATACTTCTAGTTTAAGAGAAGTATACCGGGACCTTAATACTTCTTGATTAAGAGGAGTATACCGAAACCTAAATACTTCTAGATTCAAGTGGAGTATACCGGGACCTAAATACTTCTAGTTTAACAGGAGTACACCGGGACCTTAATACATCTAGTTTAAGAGGAGTATACCGTGACCTACATACCTCTAGTTTAAGAGGAGTATACCGGGACCTAAATACTTCTAGTTTAAGAAGAGCATACCGGGACCTAAATACTTCTAGTTTAAGAGGAGCATATTGGGACCTAAATACTTCTAGTTTAAGAGGAGTATACCGGGACCTAAATACTTCTAGATTAAGAAGAGCATACCGGGACCTAAATACTTCTAGTTTAAGAGGAACATATTGGGACCTAAATACTTCTAGATTAGGAGGAGTTATGAGTTAAGATAATGTTAGACATAGCAATTTTAAAATATAAAAGAATATTAATTATCATAATAATAATATAACTTCGGAGGGAGGGGGGATTTCTCGAGAAAATATAAACCCCTGTGTCATGCTTTTGATCTTTTGGCGGGGGCCCATTTAGGAGGTGTATAATGTATATAGCTATGACTACACATCTTAAACGTGACGTGATGGGTCACCTTGCTTTGACCCCGGCGAATGGTGTCGGATAAGTTTGACATTTTCTAGCTGTGATTTAGCTACTAAATCAAAGATAGAACATGTTTAATGAATCGGATATGCGTTCAAATAGCTTAACACTAGATGAGAGATGAACTGTCCCAGGGTAAATAAACTGATGCACAACACCGAGACCTTAATACTTCCAAATTTAGGAGTTTACCGGGAGCTCAATAATGTACCTTACAGGAATTTACTCAGGCTTGGGATGGGCAGTTTTCAATTTTTTCAAATACGACATTGATCGTTTCGTTTCTGATAACGTATAAATTACAACGAAACTTTGAATGAGGATACTATATAACCAACTACACACTTAGTTGGCTTATTCTTAAAACGAAGGTTTATTTGCTTTAAAAATTTAAAAAAAAAATGAAAAAAGATTGTGTTGGAAATAGATGCCCATCCCTAACTGACTCATTTGTAATACTTTTTAATCTCATACATCAGACATGAATACATTTTCTAAAAAGTGGTCAATTAGGTTTTCAGTATATATATTTAGATCATCTGTGTGTTATATCAAAACCGATTTCGTTGTGGTATCTTCCAAGTCCCTATGGCAAAATTTTGCACGTAAAAATTGACCAGGTTCATTGTTACAGTTTTTGCAAATCCATTTAATCAAACAGATTTTTGTTTATTCGAGAACGATGAAAAAATGGCTTCGTGAAAAGCGGGGCACGAAGCACCAAGTCTAGTAACATAAGGATAATTAAATTATTCCTTGCAACAGCCTAGTTAAATTGAATAGTAATCTTTAGTATCTCTACACAACAGACATTATTCAACATCTACACATCAATTACCTGTTTAAAGATGGTCGGCTGTAATTTGCAGAAGTTTTAGGTTTTTTGGCCGAGGATGGAAGACCGTCAAAATCGGAAAATCTTCCATTCCAATTACCAGCCATATTTATCTGAAAACGTCGAAACTAAGAGCATTTTGTTAGAAAAGGATTTATTAATATTTGTCATAACACAATATTAGAAGTACAAAACACAATCGACATGGAAAGCACAATAATTTTTCATGAAACGCAATCATAGCAAAATAATATTAATCTTCTCATACAACCCTCAGTTGGTTAAAATATAGTACGATATTTGTTTTTAATTTATGGTCAGTGAAATTAAATGTAGAAACATATAAAATTAAGATATTTTAGCCAATTTCCTTTTGGATGGGATGCTGACTGCTGAGCTATATGGACCCATTTATTATTTTCAAAACGGCATATTTTTACATATATTCATATACTTGATAAAGATTTATAAAAATATTGTTATTGTTTAAGGATGCGAATATAGGTTTAGGACGAGGGATGAACTGAAGTCTTATTTAGCAGAACTGAGCCTGGTTGACCTAAAACAAAGCTGAATACATTTATTATTATTTATTATTTTTGAACAACCAGTAATTCAATGATGTCAGCGCTCCTCTTTAGTATTAATTAAAATAAAAGTTAATTACATATGATGCGGACGTCCTATGAAAACTAGCCGTCATTATTTGATTAAATAACAATCCTACAGGGGTTTCATACTACGTACACTCAGGTACACTGTACAGTGCATATTTTCTACAAAAAATAGGGGTTAAAAATAGGGGTTAAAAATAGCCCAGACAATTTAAACAAAAAAATCTCGGGTCAGAGTTTATGAACAGTGAAAAGTGGATGAACTGGGTATTAGCTAGTTCAACTTATTATTTGTTGTCTCACGGCCCCGTTAGAGAAGTAGTTTAATTATCCGTACCCAGTTTAACTACTTCTAGCTATTCACAATTCCGGCCTTTGGTTGAATTTACCGTCTGGAAGCCGGAGCTGGAGAGAAGGACATGAGACTGTCCGAGGCACTCACATTAAGCCTCTCCTCTACCTTATCAATACCAGGCAGCAGGGAGATCTAAGCAACATATGATGTTCAAATAAAATCATATTAACTTAAAATTTATTGGGGTGTATATTTTTAAGAATTATTTAAAGAAAAAATGAAAAATTAGACACAAAAAGGCAAGTTTTTCATCCTTTTTAATACTTAACTCAAATATTTATATATTTTCCCCTGAAATGATTTTTAATGAAAATATTTAACAGAAAACAATATGTTGGCGAAGGAGCTTACCCTTGGTTTCCTAAGACAGGGTGATGTATCTAATGCTCCAGTATTGGGTAGATTAGGAGATCTGTTCTCATCATCATGACCAGCTCCTTTCTGCTTCCTGCTCGGGGTGGATATAGCTGAATTTACACTCATATTCTCCGTACTCCCACTAAACTTAACACTCTGTCTAGTTTTCTTCTTAGAGGAGAAACTCTGCTCTGAACTGTTGTCAAGGCTTCGTTCTTCAGGAGATGAGACGAGAAGGTCAAACGCAATATCCATCTTTTGATCATGTTCAGTAGATCCTATATTCTTACTGTAGGTCTTGGTCACAGGACTAGCCATTGGAACAACGGGATCGAAAACATATGTTGCAGGTCTAGTGTTAACGTCGTCTTCTGTTTCGTCGTCGAACAAAGCGGATCTTCTAGGGAGTTTATTGGGTTCTCGAAGAGACCTACGGGACATCTGGGATACATAAGGAGAAATCATACCGCTCACACGCCGGGCTGAGTCCGTCAGAACAGCGCGACGAAGACGATCTCCACCGGTAGATTTAGTCCCACGAGGGGACAGTGAACTCTGGGGGGATCTTAACGCAGGATCCGAGACACTGAAGAAAAAAATTTAAACGTTTTTTTAAATCTTGAAAAGAAATTTGAAGAAAATAAGTAATTGCCTAAAACTTAAAAGAAAACATCCATTTAAACTTAATCAATTATATTTTCGTCTTCTAATGGGACACACAGAAAATCTTTCTGGATTATCGTTTACCGTATCAAACCCTCACTTTTAAAACTTGCTTAAGAACCCAGCTTTGGCTGGAACTATGAACTTTTTCTATAAAAGTCTATATCCATTCAACTTAGAATTTATAAACCATGCTAAAACATTCTTAATCAAAATTTGAAGTAAATTTTACCTTTGCTGGCGGACTGGAGACTTGATGTGGAAGAATCCTCCGTCAAAATCCTTCTCCTCCTCCCCAGCATCTGAAGGTTCCTGGATCAATATCTCGGGCTTCACAAGACCAGCAGAGACACTTCTAATCAATGAATAAACATTTAAGGAACTGTTCTCATAATTCTTAATTCTACTAATCCCTTCATATAAAGTTTCATGCCCGATTTACAACGGCACTCTTTAAGGCTTTTTGGTAAGAAAAACAATTATGAAGGATTATTAGTTTTCTAAAGAACAATTAATTTCTTCAATTTTAGTTTTACAATTAAATTTACTTGCGGATCTATGTATCAGTGACAATGAATCAAATTGACCGAATTTAACACTTTTTCAAGATTCAGAAAACGACAATTATTTCCTTATTTTTACTCAAGATAAAGGTGTAATGGTTTACCTGCATAGATGGCAAATATCAAAAAACTAGAATAAATGCAAAAATTCAAGAGCTGAGATTTTATTACTACAAATTGCCTTGTCAGCTATCGAAACTTCATATTAACCCTCCTGGGGGGGGGGGGGGGTGCAGCTGATTGAATGAGCAAAACAGGACAGCCAGAAAACAAGAAGATTGGAAGAATGATTATGTCCATTTTGCATTAAATATATGTATTAATGAATTTGTTTCATAAAAAATCTGAAGAAAAAAAAATAAAAAATAAATTGTTAAAAAAAAGGTTTAATGGTTTAAATGTTTGGAAATGTAGGGTAATATGATATTACGCCGAGACCCTTGGATAAAATAACTTTTTTAAAAATCTATTTATCAAAATAATTTATCTAGAAAACTGTATTTCGCCATTTTGTTTTATTGCGTTTGATTGTTTTTGGTGTGTAAATCCGAAACCTTAGAAACTATAGATTCCACTTACTTTTCCTTTTCCAAGGCAGCACGTTTAGCAGCAATCATTTCCTGACAAAAATACTTTTTTTAATTTAATAATTACTAGTGTACATTCAGCTTTCAGATAGGCAACAACTAGGTCTTAAGAGGCGCTTCTTAAAGTATTTAGAGATACAGGGTGAGAGAGAGAAAATGGCAAACTAGAGAAACTTTATCCAGGAGTGTATATACCCCTGCACACAAATGAAAAAGAAAAAAACGGAACTACAAGAAACATTGAAGGCCTGCATTCATCTTTTAACGCTGTATTAACCTGGAGAATGGAGGTGTTTTACCTAGCTGGATCCAGATTTTGCTACTGGCAGCTTTAAATATAATCCTTAATAACAAGCCTGGTTAGATGTCATTAAGAATCCGAACTCGTCGAAAAGACGTAAAAATTCTTTCGATTGAATCTGGTTCTACGTGTAAGCATCAAGGGAGCTTAGAACAGTCAGGTTCTTGTATAACTCTCTCCAGTTTCTTGTTGCTGAACAGAACCCTGTGTGGAATAACATAGCAGTACACCCTACTTGGAAAAAAAGAAATAATAGAGCAGAGAAGGAGGGGTTTCTCTACGCTTCTCTTCCCCCTCCTTTTTGCCAGAAACAAGGAAAATGGAAACATATACAGTAGAATCCTGATGGTTGTGCACCATGCACTAAAATACCAATTTATACTTTGCCGGCTGCGAGGAAAAAATAGCTGTAGACGAGGCCATATTCTGAAGCACTGTCCAAACTTACAAGAATCAAAATCTGTTCTCGAAAATATCCACTCCTTTCCTAACCGTTCTTATCCCATTTGTCATTATCAAGGCGGAATTCTGACAATAGATATCCTCAGAGTTTTCAAAACCCACTAAGTGCAGTGACTAATATTTAGTCCGCCCTGTAAGAATATAATAAATATGTCTCCCGAACTATCCAGATCCTTCATAGCTAAGCATAGGCGCTGAGAAAGCTGTATTCTGAAATGCTAGAATACTTAGTCAAACCATACATGAACATTGAACAAGAACGAATAATCAGAAATATGCATCTTTATGCATTTTTCCCTTGTCTACAAGAGATTAGAATGCATAGATCTAAAAGAGAAGAACAGAAAACAGAAAAAAAATTCACTGTTCTTTATCATTGAGATTTTATATCTATTATGACTTTTATCTACCTTTATACTTGGTTTCCTTTCACCGGGTTCCTTCACCTCTTCGGGGTTCTCGGAACAATCTTTAATTAAGAAATCAATTAAAAATTAATTAGTTTAGCTTGACTGTTGTTAATTATAATTTTCAGAACACCGACTTTGAACGTTAAATAGTTTTATGTTTTCGAAAAAATATGATTATTTGTCGAAATGAATAATTTTCAAAAACCTAAAGCCTTTTTTCAAAATGAATTACTCTAACTGTTGTATTGCTTTAAATATACTTTTTATTTACCTTCCGACTTCTTCTTTAAGGCTAAGATATGAGCTCGTAGACCTAGAAGTAAAAAAAATAAGAGAAAGTTTAGAAATTGTTTAAAACAAGTATTTACCCGAAGTGGCTGCAGGTTTCTTGGTGATAGGTTTCTTTAAAGCAGCCGGCTTCTTTTTTATAACTTTAGCTTGTGATATCTCAATCTAAAAATTAATAAAAATTGATATTTGGAAGCAAGAAAGATTGCGTATATTAATTACACTTCTTATCCGCCTCCTAAAAGTTAAAATTGTAACCATTATTTTAATCAATATTTTTACATTCATCAAAAAAATTTTATTTTATTTATTTCAGTCATCATTTTTAATAATTAATGCGTGATTATGAGTTTACTCATATTCCCAGTATTGCGTAATCTGAGATAAGATGATAAAATGTTACCTCTTTCCACCCGTTTTCTTCAATCTTCAAAAGTTCTCCAAACTTTTTATCAACGTCTTCAACCTGATAATTATAATTATGTGTTCTTTTCTTCAGACATTTATTTGGATTTCCGAGCTGAAAACTTTAGAATGGGGGATATCGGGATTAATGCTTAATCCTCTCTTTTTGATTATCTCAAGATTAACCTAATCTTGCAAGATTTTCTTAAAAGTGCATAAAAAACTGTAATCATCTGAGAAACTGAAGCACCCAATCAGAGAAAAGCGGACAATCAATGAGAGAACAGAAATATTCTCACTGGAGAAAACAATTAACGGATATCCAAGGAGAGAGAAAAAGAGTCGATTAAGGACTAAAATGAAAAGTTTCCACAGTGGATATTCGGATCAAGAAGTCAGGATTAAAGTTTATCCATTCTAAAGTTCCCAGCTCTGGACACGTTCTCTGGGCCTCATAAATAATGTTCTCCTGTTTTAACTCAAACAAAAATAATATAATTAAAGATTTAAATAAACCTGAAAATAGATCATGTCCCAAAATCCTTGTAAATCCATACAAGATGTCGTCTTCTCTCCGGTACCAAACTCACAGTTATCAACTAATCCTGAATGTTATAAAAAAATTAAAATCCCAAATCCTCTTGACTACTACTATGCATTGATTTCCTACATTTAAATCAATCAAATCAACCTTTCATGGGCGCCCCACTTACATATTTATTTACTAAATCAAATGTTCACTTGTGAAGTATGGTCTATAGTAAAGTTTTTAAAGAATAAATGGTAATTTTGTAAAGCAAAGCCAGGATTTTTTCCATTGACTGAGCGGACTAAAGTCGGTTTCAACCAACCTTTCTCCCTACCCATCAAAAAGTACCAATTCTTACTTATCTCAGAGCTGAAAACTTTAGAATGTGATATCCTTAATCCCGATCTGTTAATTAATCTGGAGATTAAATTCATGAGGAGAACAAGCAATATTTAATCTGGAGATTAAGAAAAAGAGTGGATCAAGCATTAATCCCGATATCCACAATTCTAAAGTTCCCAGCTCTGATTACTTTAGGGCTAATTTAAATCTTGAAAGTGGACAGGCCAGGAGCCAGGAAATTTTGTTTAACAATAAGATAATTTAAGAGAATAAGTTTAACTCTTAAATTCAATAGTTTCCCTAGAGGATATCTCAGTCAAAGTTACCTGAGCTGGGAACTTTAGAATGGGATATCCTTAATCCCGATCGGTTAATTAATCTGGAGATCAATAAAAAGAGGAAAACAAGCATTATTTAATCTCGAGATTAAGAAAAAGAGGAAATCAAGCATTAATCTGGATATCCACCATTCAAAAGTTCCCAGCTGTGGCCCCAGTAAAGTTTACCTGAAAATTGTTTAAACCTCTCTGCCATAACCAACCGACCTTGTCCAACAGTTGTTCTTATCTGTCCCTGGTATAACAGAAAATGGATCAAGTGCTTTTGATGCTGATTCGGATCCTAGATCCATCCTGTGAAAGAGGATCCGAATCTACCTAATGAATTTTTACTCGTTTCTTCATGAAATGCAGCAACTGTTCAGTGTACAGTACGTACAGTGAACAACGTCACAGACCCATTATATTTAATGACCTTATTTTTGATCTACTGCTAAATTTAAAACTTCCTATCCAACAGTTTTTAAGTCTCACTTTATTCCTTCCTGTAATGTTAAGAACTGAAAATGTAATTTCAGGTGACCCGATTTACCCAATTTAAAACGGCACAATTAAAGCCTTAATCTGATCAAAGATGTGGAAGATATAGTCGTTTTTCTGACTCGAAGTCTATACTTCTGTGAGTTTCTCCATTGCTTCTTATAAACAAGAAATGCGCAAGTCACTTTCGCAAAGAAAGAATTTCGTTGTAAATCGGGCATCGCCATTTTTGCATGAAGGGTCACTAAAAATTACGCTTACAGTCTCTTTTCTCTTCAGGGGTTCAGGTTTGTGAATCATTATTTTCTCTAATAACCATATGGCTGAGTTCGAAGTAGAGAGGATTTGAATACCTGTATTTCCTCTGGAATTTCATCGTTTAGTTTAGCCTCCCATTCATCACACCAGCTGGTCATTCTAGTAGCTTCCGATACTACAAATATAGTGAATAAAATGCAGTAAGTTCTTATTTTTTACCTTTATTCCCCCGCCCCTCTCTCCTCCTCCACCTACCAACTAATTAATTGATCCCCCCCCCCTTACTAATAACTTCAGTAATGTTTGTGTAGAATGTTTTACAGGCTTTTGAAATCCTTAATCGGGGGAAATTTTTTCATTTTTTATTACTCTCCCAATAATAACTTAATAATTTTCATAAACTATATTTTGATACATTCTCCTGGTTTCCTACTATCTTACCCTGTAATATGTTTACCTAGGAGATTTCTGAAATAGAGAACATCGTGCTCGCATTCTTCTTGACCTTTTACTGCTCTTGCCTTCACCGAAAAAATCAGTCTCGAACATTAGTTAACAAAATACAATCCACATGAAGGGGGAAAGGAAAATAAATTTTCTTTCCCCCACCCCCCCTTTGAAAACTTTTTTTTCGGAAAAATGTATATGCGTGCGTAATATTCTTGATTTTTATGGGATATTAGGATATATTAGGCATTTTTGGGTAACTACTTACTACAAAGTATCAAAAAGAAATTCTGAAACAACTACATGTTTTTCAAATTCTGGACTATTTGTACAAATAACACACCATGAATTGAAAGCGAGGCCAGACGGTGGTTTTAATGAATAATACTAAGAAAGGCAAAGAGTTTGGATTAGAAGTCGGAATAAAAATTAGATTACTGGACAATCTTACAAAAAAAAGTTTAAGAATTCATTTCTCTCCTGTACAAGAACCTCAACGGCAGCATCTTCCTTCAGGGCTTCCTCAACGTCCATGCTAGATGTGACCTCCTGCTGAGTAGCATGGATATTCTTCATTTTAATTTTCACAAGTGGGTTCTGAAATTATCAAGTAGATAATACCGTCACCAAAATAATAGAATTCATGACATTTTTTTAACTTAAGGTTAAAGCTCAGTGGATAAGAAGTATTTGCTTGAAAGTTTAAGTATGTGACCGGGGGGAGGAAATACGGATATATCCCGATATTAGTGAACCCCTCCCTGGCTAGAGTTTTGTAGTAGTTTCCATGCTGTTCCTGATTGTTGATGGATTCTAGTTCGGACTTCTCAAGCTCTGCCGTCTTCATTTCTAAACAAAAAAGGTTTGAATATATGTATTTTTTACTGCTCTTGCCTTCACCGAAAAAATCAGTCTCGAACGTTAACAAAATACAATCCACATGAAGGGGGAAAGGAAAATAAATTTTCTTTCCCCCACCCCCCCTTTGAAAACTTTTTTTTCGGAAAAATGTATATGCGTGCGTAATATTCTTGATTTTTATGGGATATTAGGATATATTAGGCATTTTTGGGTAACTACTTACTACAAAGTATCAAAAAGAAATTCTGAAACAACTACATGTTTTTCAAATTCTGGACTATTTGTACAAATAACACACCATATGTATTTTTAAGATTATGGACGCAAAAAAATGTTTTTGAAGGTACTCGTATTTTATTTATATAGTATATACTATACCTATGTCTGATTCACGACCTATTGCTGAGAACTGGTTACTTAAACTCTGAACCTGCATAAACAAACAAAAATTAAAATAAAATAATTTGCCTTTTTACATTTTATTTGTTCACACTAACACCGCATTTTATTTTTCGCAAGATGTTTAAATTGTCCTTAAAATTGAGATTTTTAGGCGGGGCGATAATATTTTATAAAACTATTGTGGACTTAATCATGCATATTCACTACATGGTGAACGTGCAATAAGACAATCATCGTACTATAGTTTTAGCACCGTGAAAAAATGAATTGATAAAATATTTAAAATAAAAAATAAAATATCTCGCCTTGAATTGTAGCAATATATCCTCTACATCAGTGCTCTCAACATTATCAGAAGATCTAAACTTCTAAAAAAAAATATTAATGAATTAGAAACTCTTAAATAGTTAAGTCATAAAATTGTTAAACCGAATTCGTGCTATTATTTTTTCATTTAATTTAAATCTTTCTTGTAATAATTTTAGCTCTTTGATGCTTGCTTATCTATCTACATTCTACAAGCCTTTCATAAATTTGGAAATAATAAGCATTAAACAGATTTTCATTTTCATTGGCCGATTTAAATTTACTTTAATTAAAAAATTGTTTAGATTACCACAAAAAAAAACTTGGTCGGTTCAGTTGTTTTGAAGGTTGTTTATTGGATACAAACAAACAAGATGAGCCAAATATATGTATAAAGTATATAATATAATAAATATAGATTAGGCTCACTAACCTTTGCTAGTATTTCATGAACCGGACTTTCGCTGTCTGGAATATCGTCAAACAGAGATAGAATTGAATTCTGAACAAACCAAACATATCCTTTCTATGATAAAAAGTATGTAATTTACAAAAATGTTGTGCTTTTTCAACATTATTACCAATTGGCTTTTTTAGTAACAAAAATATATCTATAACAATACTTATAAAAATACCTTAAAAAATTATGCGATCAAATTTTTTTTAAATCGTCCATATGGTTGCGATCCGACGATTTAACGTCGGAGATGTCACTACAAATACAAAACCACAAAATTTTCTTGTAAATTGTATGCAATTCAAAAACAATTTTTAAAATATTGAAAATTAAATAAACAAAGGTTGAAGAACTGTCCAAAATTGCTTTTTGATGTTTTTGGCGAGTTTTCGTGCTCTAGTCAATTCAATCTTTAATTTTTTCAAAATTGTTTTTCAAATTTGAATTCAGCAAAAATGTCCAAGAAAATGGGAACATATAATTTTTTATAACTATTTTTGGAATGTCTATTTTGTGATTTTCCCCAACATTAAATCGTCGGATCGCAACCGTATGGTCGATTTTGGAAATTCTTTTTTTCATCACATTAGTTTTTAAGCTCCTAATGCACCCACCCCCAGTGGGTGATTGGCTAATTTCTAGAACAAAGTCATAAATTGATCATCCCTAGTGTTTATTTCATTGTTCAGCTATGAGGCTGTTAATTTGATTATGATTGGTTTCCTTGGGTTTAGTTTCTGAGAGTGAATATTTACGTTTAACACTCCTCCTCTCTTCTATCCAAGGGGATTTCATCACAGTCCTGAAATCAAGTACCCTTTCATTGGTTAAACAATAAAAAAAATTAGAAAAATCAATTTATAGTCAATTAATAAAACATAAGCCAATCAATCAATCAAACGTTTAATCGCCATGAGCCTCAACCGACTTTATAAAACTAAAAAGAAAACCACTCAATCCAATTCAATCAATAAATACAAAGAAAATCAGTAAAATAGGCAATATATCATTAAGACAATTAATTAATTAGACATTGACAATCAATATTTACAATCCATAAATTAGAAAATCAGTAAAATAGATAGCTAATCAAAAGCTGATCTAATTGATTAGAAAATCAATAAAAATTAAATTGATTATGTAGCACATTCAATTAAAATCACTAGTTTTACTAAATTTCATATTTGGCGAGATTCATTTCTATTTTTGTTCCGCTACACCAACCTGGTTTTAAACGCAGACTTTGTCTTCCTCAGTCTGGGAGTAGGAAGAGGAGTCTTAAATACAATCTCTTCTTCTTCTACGTTGAGTGGAGTACTAGGAGTACCTACTACCATATCTGATGGAGCTTCAACCGAATTCTTATTCATCTCTGGAGTCTGAGGAGGAACGGAGCCCGTAGACTCCGTAGCTCTGGGAGAATCTAACTTCATCTCCGGAGTTTTTGTGACAGACTTTTCCGGCTCCGGTATAGTAGTCTCCTGGTCATCTATGAGTTGAGGAACAGGACGCATAGATCTAGTTCTACGCCTGGTTGTGGCAACCCTAGGTTTAGCTGGTGAACTAGTTTCTTGGCCTCCGGTATTCTCATCCTGAAATTGTGTTTTGTAAAACTTCAGTCCGAAAACTAAGAATAGTTGATTTTGATTATTCTACATGTTTCACCAAGAATAATGGATATCAAAACATTTTTTAAAAGAAAAATAAAATTGTGCAGAAAAAAAACGAAAACTTTCTTTTTTAGATGGGGGGGGGGGATATTAATTTATGTGAATCAGAAAATCCGTTTTTGAACACAGAATAAATAATTCACTAGTTAACCAAAAATCTATTTTTCAAAATATTACTCAAAATGTCTTGAAAGGCTGAATTAAAAAATTATAAAATTTAAAAAAAACGTTCATAAATAAAAAAAACTACAGAAACCGAAGTGTTGGCCAAAATCATGCCTTATGACCGTAACATAACAATTTTAAAAATATCAAAAACAAATAAAAGACGGTAATTAACGGCTTCAGGCGCATTTTTCGATGACCATCATTGATTTAACCATAAAAAAAAAACAATTTATCAAGCATAATCATTGATCATATTTGTAGTCTCAATATATAAAGGATTGAAAGGATTGAGAGATTCTAATCAACTACAGAGAATCTTTTTGAGGCAAGTCGTTTTTGAGGAAAGCCACGGCACAATAAACTTAATTTTAAATGAAAACGAAGATATTTCCAACCTTTTGCATCATCTCTTCCTCCTGTGAGGATCCGTCCTTTTCCTTCTGTTGGCCCGATACTCTAGAACTTGTTCTTCTCTTCTTAGTGAATTTAGTTGCAGGACGTTGTTCTGTGTCCTGCTCATGACCTTCCTCGTCCTCGTGACTTGGACTAGATTCACTGAGGACAGGTAAGACACTTTTCCTGATAATAATAACTAATTATGAAACTCAACTTCACTTTTTCTTTCTCGACTTTTTTAATTTCTTTTCCTTAATAATCCTTCCTTGATTAATTATTAGTTAATATTAGCTCTTAATAATTCTTACCTGGAAACTCTTGGAGTACGCGATGGAGTCCTTCCAGCTTTGCTTGGAGTACGTCTACGGGATGGAGTTGAAGGAAGCTGGGCCCTAAGTAAAAATATTTTTGAGTTTAAGATAACTTTTATAAAGTGATCATAGTAGCCGTAAGTATATAACAATGACACTATTACAACCCTATCCACAGTAAATATCTTTTTTCATTTTAGATTAATCTAAATAAAGTGAACATAATAACCACCAGATGAGTGAACCACTGTCCAGTGTCCACCCGTTTCAATATAAATGAACCACATATAACTATTTTAAAAATCTAGTTAAAGATGTAATGAGCTTGATGAATTTAGAAAAAATGTAAATTTTACCTTTCTTTGATCTCGTGGGTTTCCAAATCCTCGCAGCAGAAACACTGCCCGATGGTTGATCTTCTAGTTGCGGATAATGATCTTTCCTAAATAGGGTTTCATTTTAACAGTTCAATCAAGTATTTAACAGGGTAGGAGGTTTATTTATATTCTATGACTTGTTGGGACAGTTTTTTTTTACAAAAAAACGACTGCTGGTAAACAGTGCTGCTTTCACTATATTTATTATTATTATTATTATTATTATTAGCAATCAACCTATGTAGATTACAATACAATGAAAACAGTACTTCGGTCACCGCACCCAGAACTTACAAGACAAATTTGTTATTATTTACAATACAACTAGTTAATGAGCTGTCTATCATCCCACACAAATATTATAAGAGTGCTTCATTAGTTTTGGGAAAATTGTTCTCATTCAATACATTTACGTACAATTTTTTTCTACTAGGACAACATTTCCGGACGGCTTGGTCAAATATTTAGATTGCTATCCCAAAAACGATTACTATTATTAAGGGTTAAGTTATTTCATTTATTTTCACTTATTTGGGATTTGTTATTCTTCATTATTTCCCCGATATTTACCTTGACCCTGTTAGCGGGTGTTCTAGCTAACTCTTCTCTTGTCAGTGAAGCATCAGGTTGAACTCCACTAATTCTCCTGATTCCACGAAAAAGGTTTTTAAAAATATATGTCTATTTTAAAATCAGAAAAATCCAATATAAAATGAACTTAATGAATAAATTTAAAACATATTTTGAAGATCTTGGAATTTTTAACTTTGAAGCCATGATAAAAAGAAATAAAAACGTTCAAGGATTCCTTGATCTGGTTCTTCCTCGACCTCTGTCAGGGGTTTTAGCGACAACCTGAAACATGAATCTTTATTGCATGAGAAATCCAAAGTGTTGTTTTATGGTTCTAAACAAAAAGGGATGTTCAAAGTTCGACTTCTTATTCATTTAATCGGAAATGTTAAGAAGTCTAACCTATCTCTTATCAACTGTACTCAATATTATTGTATTTTCAGCCATAACCAAGGATATCTCGAAGATTTTTATTACTAATTAAAAATACGACATTTTCTGAAATGAATATGTAAACTAACACTGTACGGCTCAGTCTAATCTTTGTTTGAATTCCTCCCAGAAACTGCAGCACATTATATTTTGGTGTAAACAAATAAATGGTAATTCATTTTTAATATCATGGTTTCATTTTAATATCTTGGTTCTGATTTGAATGTTGTGAACAGTTTATTTACCTCAGTTACTTCAGTTTCACTGGAGAGAAGGTTTAAACTGGAAACTACTGGTTCAGCTGTTAAACTATTGTTGGCAGATATATCCCGGGATCCGAATGAGAGTTTACGAATGTTCGTCTCCTCTCTACCAGGTTGGGACTTCTCCAAGGAGGGTTTTGTCGATCTTTTGCCACTTTTCCTAAATGTTGGCCGGTAATTGATATATATGAACTAAGTGTGAAAAAAAACATTGCATACAACTTTTCAAATATGGTTAACCAACAATAGTTCCCAAAGTATTAAAAATTCAAGGATAATTAAACTGAATAAGTTTGTTTTACCTCTTGTCTGGGGTACTCTCGGAGAAAACATTGTCTGAACACTGAAATACAAACCATTTTTTCCCAAAAGATATTCTTTCTGAGTCTATAACTAAAGAACGAAAAGTTTTGACTTAAATTTTAAGTTCATGGTTAAATGCCACTTCTGACTTAATTTGAACCTGAACTTTAACCGTGAGGTTAAATATTTAACCCTGTGGTTAAATATTTAACTCGCCGAAATCGACGAGTTAAAATTTAAACAGAGGTTTAAATTATCTTGAAATCCTGCATTTTCCCTATTTGTCTATTATTCAATCATCATTCAGCTGCAGCTGAGAAAGCGGCATTCAACTTTACGATACATTTAAAAGTGAAAACCTTGTTAAAGAAACTTCACGTTTTAGATAAATTAATTTTTGGATGTAAACCCAAAAAACGGTTGTATGTTTTGTTTTCGTTTACGTAAGAACAGCTGATTAGCGATGGTTATGTAATATTCTCCGTAAATCCTTTTCTCTGATTGGTTCAGATTTTCCCGGGAAATTCAAATTTAAAATTGAGAAAGTTTAATATTTAAGTAGCTATTCATTATTTTACAGAACTTTTAACCTCGAACTTAAAATTCGCACATTCTTTAGTTTTAGACTCAGATTATTAAAATCCAACACATAGTTTCCATTTTTTCTAAATCATTAGTTTTTTACCTCACTGCTCTCCATATTCATGTTTAGCTCAGGAATACTAGGGAAGTTAAGTTTTGGAATCTTATCTCCGCGATTTAAATCTAAAAATTAACATTTAAATAATTCTTAATGTTCAGAATGATAACAATAAAACGCATACGGCTGAAGAAGCATCACAGGTTTGCCCAAAAATGGCCTCGCGACCAAAACTTTATGGGGCCGTCTGAAATGTTACATCGAAAATTTTAACTTTAATTATAATGCTCTCTAATTGATAGCTTTTTATCTTTAAAGATTTTGAGTTCATAATTATTCTCACCTAATGGAGTCGACATATTGGGTATATGCATTGGCTTGAATTGAAAATTATCCGGTGCGAAAGAACCAACAGAACCTAAAAATAACAGAAATAATGAGAGTGACAGTTAGTAAATTTTTAAAAATTATTTTAAAGGAAAAAATTAACATAGAATTTACTATTCTTAGTTTTTTTCGTATTGTTACTTCTTTCTTTAAACATGATTTAGAGGGGGTATAATTTTTAGAAATTTTATCTTTAACTGAAGTATTTTTGCGAACTAAAAGCAGGAAGAACTCGTAGATTTTTACATTAGAGATTAGCAAAAAATTTCCGATCTGAGTCTTTTTTCTGACAAAAATAATATAGGACATGTAGACTTTAAGGTTTAAAAAGGGAATTTTCTTATTTGTTAATGTAACTATTAGTTAAAAGGAAATTTTTATTTATATTGTTAATCCAATCTAGATCGATATTATATAAACTACAATGAAAAGATATGGAATACATATCTTAATATACCTTTAGAACTCTTACTACTGGCAGATGAACCGTTGCTAGCAGGATGAAGATTAATTGAGGGCAGTTCCTAAATTTCATTTTTTATTAACATTAAAAAACACTTTAACTTAAAACGTATAGTTAATAGGACAAAATCCTAAAATGACAGGATTAGATAAAACAAAACATCCCATTCGACACTGCTATGGTCGGCAGCTCCTGGCTTATCATTTTATTTTATCAAAATATCACCTCATACAAATAATTTTACGTATTCAAGAATATATATAGATCTAAAATCAGTCTTGATGTACAAGAAACAAAAAAAATATATTTGTTAGTAACCTTTGCTCTGGTAAGTTAAAAATTGCAAAAAATTGAGAAATAAAGACATGTCAAACCTGAGGCAAAATGTTCTTATGTTTAGTTGCCTTTCTACCAGTATCTCGTGTAGGGCCTCCTAGCTTACTTCGTGTTGTCAATCTAGTCGTTCGACTGGTCCGACTAGAAACTGTTGACATTTTCGAAGTATATGAGGACATAGTCGAATTACCAGCTTTCGTTCTAAATGAAAAGATGCTAACTCAGAAACCTTTGATATTTCCAACCCAACAAACGGTCCAATGACATCAGTTTTTCCGCTGGCAAACTATGATTCAGCTAAGGATTGTACAATGGTTTATGAATAAGCGATTAGGAGCATGCAATGCAATGCAATGCAATGCAATATGTTCACGACTGGAACCCTCTATTTAAAAACAATGTTTCCCTATACCTGTTATTTAGTGTGATGTTAAGAGGTTTATGTGCACCGGCTCCGAAGGGTGCTAGAGGATGGTGCACTACGCCAGCCTGAATATAATACCATAACTAACCGTAAAGTGAAGTTATGTTTTCATTCAGGTTTGAAGCAGGGATGTATGTTTTTCAGAATTACCCCCCCCCCCATGGGGATGAGAGCAAGAGGAATCAATAGGCAATTTTGTTCAATCCTTTAGATACCGAAAAATTAATATATTTTCCCCTAAAAATCATGTATTTCCCCGAGTTCAACAAAGAAAACCTTAATTTTTTTAATTACAAATAACTTTGGAAGAAAAATGATTTTCGATAAAGTATACACCACTAGTTTGAAGTTAATTCTCTCTTTTTTATGATAATTTTAAATGTTTTCATTTATACAATTGAGTGAAGTTTTAGTTAATCTAAAGAAACTGCTAATTATGTCGACCCAAAATATAACACTTTATTTTAATTAATTTTTAACTTTCAGTTTTTATTAAAATTTAACCTTAAATGCAGGCTTGGCTGTTTTCTTCTTCATTTCTAATTCCTGCTTCTTCTTCTGCCTAAACTCCTCCAGTTTCTCTCTCCTAAATCAAATTATATAAATAATAATTTCCAGTTTATAGTGCAGACAACTATTCAAAAACTCTCTGGATGAATACAAATCTGACATTATTCTTCTTAAGCTGAAAGCATATCAAATTGATTGAATAACAGTTTTTAAAAATCTGATAAAGGTTGTACCTGGATTTCTGCTTCTCTACCAATATCTCTAAAAAAATAAAATGAATATTAATTGCATGATTTATCATTTCTGCGAAGTAAAAAAGTTAAGAACTATATTACTAAGCTTTCAAGGCGCTTCACGTCCATCTTCTATTATAACTTTTGTGAGCATCTTCTCTTCGATGAAACAAAAAAAAACATTTTGCGAACATTTATTTTGTGGATTATAAAATCGGAAATCAAAATATTCTGGAGTCAAATTTTTGCAATTTTGACCATCCAATAACCTTAAGTTGCCTCAAAAATGTGGGGCCTATAACAATAAAGAAAAACGGAGTCTAAATATTAAAAAAAAATATTTTAAATATTTGACTTCCGACTTTTTATGGGAATGAGATTCTAAATTCAAAGTAAATTGGGTTTTCTATGAGCAAATCTTGGTTAAATCAATTTTGTGCATGACCTAGAATTTGACTATTTTGGTTTACCTTTCTCAGTGTCCGAGGATGATATTGATGAAGAGGAACCAGCGCAGTTCCTCAAGAACTCGGATACGTCCATGTTGTCTGTCTCTTGTTTAGTACTTATCTGAAACTAACAGAACTCATTGAAATACAAAGCCAGAATTGGCCTCTAGGTATACTCCTTGAGAACGACTTTTGGCCCCCCTCCTATCAATTTTGTACATGGGTCTAACAGGAAGTGTCTTAACTTAACCTAACCCGTGGCCGCAGCGCTCGGCCCCCTAGCCCATCCTAGCCGCAGCGCTCGGCCCAGAAAGTGTCTTAACCTAACCTAACCCTAAATAACAAAAAAAATAAATAATAATAAAATTGCTGAAAAATAAATGGTCATGTACAGAATTGATAGGAGGGGGGGGGGCGGGGGCGGGGTCCAAAAATCGTATACTAGGACAGACCCCAGACCCCAAATGTCATCTTATTGAATTACTTGCAATGTATTGGGAATTTTCTCTAATTTTAAATTACATGTATAAATTCAATCAGTGAAGAGACGAAATAAGGACCCTACTATTACTATTCGAGATTTTAAATAAATTTTCAGAAAATTCGGATTACACTGGTGCGTTTTATTAAAGATTTTTACAGCGCAAAGCTGCCAACAATTGCGCCGAAAACTTAAAGGCGCGCTTATGAGAACATGCCGCGGTGAACTAGAAATTTAAAATTAAGTTATGAAAGACGATAAATGGGAAGAAGAGAAGAATCTACAGAAGATACAAAGAAACTAAAGAACACAGTGAACTGGTTGCATACAAAAAGATTGAGAAGCAGTTACAGAAGGATATAAGAGCGGCAAAGAGAAACCTAGAAAAGAAAATATCAAGATCAAAAGGTGATAATAAAAGATTTAATTCTTATATCAGAAGTAAATTGTCAAATAAATCTACTATTGGACCATTGAAAGAAGAAGGTGAAACAATTACAGACTGCTCAAAGATGGCAACCATTCTCAACACATTTTTTAGTAGTGTGTTTTCGAGGGGGGATGGAGCAGTACCTGAACTTGAGAAGCTTCCTGTTGAAGAGGATCTAGAGCACATTGAATTGAAATAATGAAAGAAGATATTTCTAAAAAAATTGACCAATTGAAACCTGGAATAGCACCTGGACCAGACAACATTACAGTCACAATATTAAAAAGATTAAAAACATCACTTCTTACCCCCTTGCAGATTATCTTTCAAAGATCAATGGAGACTGGAGAAGTCCCACAAGACTGGAGGGATGCACATGTATCACCAATCTTTAAAAAAGGAGCAAAAGGTGATCCTGGAAATTATAGACCAGTGTCTCTGACAAGTATTGTTTGCAAATTGTTGGAATCTATCATCAGAGATAAAATCACAGAGCACCTAGATCAAAATAAACTAATCAAACCCTCACAGCATGGTTTTGTAAAACACTGCTCCTGTCAAACAAACTTACTTGAGTTTATGGAGATTGTAACTGAAGCAGTAGATCAAGGTGATGCTGTTGATCTTGTTTACATAGACTTCAGCAAAGCCTTTGATAAGGTTTCTCATCAAAAACTTATTCTAAAATTGAAATCTCATGGAATAAGTGGATGTGTGTTGAAGTGGATTGAGGCCTGGCTCAGTGGAAGACGGCAGAGAGTGGTAATAAATGGAAAATCTTCTGGCTGGACATTAGTAGAATCTGGGGTTCCCCAAGGAAGTGTGTTGGGTCTCCTTGGTATTATTGTTTATATAAATGATGTGGATAAATGTGCAATCAACATAACAACCACTAAAAAATTTGCAGATGATACTAAGGCAGCTAACAAAATTAAAGATGATCAAGATAGAATGAACCTCCAACAATCCCTAGATAAACTGGTGAAGTGGGCTGAGGAGTGGGACATGCAGTTTAACATAAATAAGTGTAAAGTCATGCACCTGGGCAAACACAATCAGAAGTATAAATATAGCATGAATGGAGTTGATATTAAATCAGTAGAAGAAGAAACAGATGTAGGTATAAAGCTAGCCAACAACCTCAAACCTGGACTTCAATGTGAAGCAGCTGCTGGAAAAGCTAAATTTGTTCTCAGTCAAGTCTCAAGATCGTTTCACTACAGAGATAAGAGAGTGTTTTTGAATCTTTATAAACAATTTGTGCGCCCACACCTAGAATTTTCTGTACCTGTCTGGTGTCCCTGGCAAGAGGGGGACAAATTGGTTCTGGAAAAAGTACAAATGAAAGCTGTAACAATGATCTCAGGTCTGCAAAGCAAGGAGTATGAGGATAGGTTAAAAGAGCTTGGTCTTCAATCTATTATATGATAAAATACCGGAACAGCAGGAATGAGAAACCTATGAGTAAAATGCTGGATACATAAAGACGTCATCTCTATGCTCCTATCTGGAACTCTGATGACAAATATACAAGTATTCCCAAGTAAGTATTATCCCGAAGGAGTCAAGGTTAAGCTCTTATCTAACCGCACCACCATTACGGTTGGGAAGGCGTCACTGGCAGATAAACACTATCCTACTATTAATGAAACAGTATTTAGTATTTACCTTTATTAAAGGATCATCATTTTCTTTCCTCCTTAAAACACCCTTGAGGCTTTCCTCCTCTATGGAGTCCTAGAATAAACATTTTAATATAGAACTAAAATTATTTTCATATGCAAAATATATTCAGAAAAGACATTGAATCATTTTCCACAACATATTTTATAAAAATCCATGTCATTTTTATTCTTCCCTTTTTCTTAATCCAAATGATTTGTTTCTGATAAGCCCCACAACAAGTACCCTCTGTGAAAGACTTAATATTATCATCTCATTTGTTTGTTATCCTTTATAAATTACTATCGCACAAATTTTCACAAAACTTTGAATTGTAATTAGAACTGCATAAAAAAGTGGAAACTACTTGACCCTAAAGGAAAAAAGGACTGTCACCGTAATCTAAAGAGACCCTATCTGTAAAAAATAATAGTTTACAACCGTGGTTTCTATTTATAAATGACGTGAGGATTTAGAATCAAAAAGCAAATTCAACACTATAATAAAAGACGATAATTGTTTCTTAAATAAAGGTATTAAGAGAACCGTTATCATTTGGACATTTAAATGGGTTCACTTGATAATACTTTGACAGACACTTTAAGAAATAAACAATATTCTGTTGAACCCCTTGAAAAGAGAATCTATTCTACCTGTCTTGGCAGAGCAGCTACACACTTCCTGTATAATAATTATTCAATAATCTCTACAGCAACAACATTAAACTAATCTTTTCTTTTTTATGTAGGCTTATATTAATTACACTTATTGACAAACTAAAAAATTGTAATTTTTGAAATTACACGGGCGCCGACGGGTACTAATCACTAAATCATAATTTAATACCATGCGTGAGTTAACGGCGGGAGTAACTTTGACTATATCAATAATATAAACCTGGGCAACGCCAAGTACTCTAGCTAATTTCTAATAAAACATTATTTTAACAATTAGATAAATTAATGAACAATTTCCTGGCAGATTCAGCAAGTTTAGCCTTGGGTGTCTCCGTAGGTGGAACAGCTCCCTACAAATAAATTAATATTTTAATCCCACGTTAGATTTCGCAGTATTTTATTTTGAAAGAAATAAACACGAGTGTAGGAACAATAAATCCGATTATAATTTTCATGAAAAAGAAAGATTTGTTTTAAAAATCTCATGTTCGTATGCCTGGAAACAAGAACTACAGGGGAATATTTTACCGAGGGAAGAAAAAAAGAAAAAATAACTATTTTATATTGGAAGGACAAACAAAATGGGAAAGATCGTCACACTCCAGAAGCTTTTTAATTTAACATAAATTATTTCCCATTTCAGTAATAAAAACCCGGATTTTGGTTCTTCTGATTTTTTAAAACACATGTTCTTTGTATTAGAGTGGTAGGTGATTATAACAATACAATGAAGACGACTTCTTTCTGTAAGTTTTGATTGTTACCAAGATTTTTTCAAATTACAAGTTTACAAGTATTCAAAGAGAAGCTTTTTAAATTGATAGCTTTTCTTGACTTTTATGTTTATGTGAAATGTGTATCCATCCTGTTCACAGCTTGATTTCAATCAAAATCGAAATTCGTCTTCATTTTTTAGATATAATGGCATACCACTGTAGTATAAAGTATATACCTTTCTGACAGGAGTAGAAGGAGGAAGCGCTTTATCAAAATACTCCGGAGAAACATATGGACCAAACCTCTTATGACCCCTGGTAAGGGTTATGAATGATCAAAATTTAAAAAATTCAATTTCTATAAAATTTAGAAAATTCACAATTTTTTTATTAAATTCGCCCCCGCAAAAAATTTGGGCCGGATCGGTTCAGCTGTTTTAAGTGGCCGAAATAATTGTATGAAGGATGAATATTTTAGAATGAAAAATTCAATTATGTATCTCAACATTTTGGAAATTGTGTGTTACATTAGAGATAGGTTCAGATATACTACCTCGGAGTTAGAACATTGATTCCTTGGTTCTCTGGTTCCCTGTTCTCCTGTACATTTTCAGGTACACGGACCTCTAGCATAAGGATAGTTTCTTAAATATTCACATTTAATTAATTTTATCATAAATAATATCATCCTAGTTCTTAAGTTAATATATATTTTGTTAAATCAGTAAATCCTTCGGTGGTAGGCGATAATATCAATACAATAAAAACAATTACAAGTAATTAAAAGAGGAGATTTGTCAATTGTCAGCTTCTCTTTGTTCTTATGTTTTTGTGAATTAATGATTCTTAAAAGCTTGATATAATCGCCTACAACCGTTTAAGCTAACTAAGATGTATCACAACAATTTCTCCCGTTAAAAGGTGGAATATGTTTTTCCCATCGTTTGATTCAGTTTAAAAAATAAACAGAGCATTTCATAAAGCTATTTTTACTCTTGATTCTAGCCAAAGAAAATAAAATATGTGAGGAGAATACTTATATTTTAATAAATTCTTTAATACTATTATTTACATATGTTGGTATTAATGTTTGTTTACCTCCTGGGTATTCCCATCTGAAGTGTCTGTCTCCAATAGTGAAAACGTCATCATGCATAAGCCTTGTTTGAACTCCATTTTGGATACTCTTGGAGTTCAGCTTGGTCTGGTTTGTCTTACTTAACGCATACAAATATACCTAGAATTGTTCGCAAGATGAGAAAACAAATCTTAATTAATCAAACTGAACAGGAAAACTTTCATTCATTTATTTTCAAAGGTTTGGAGAATTTTTCAATCCAGTGCTTAAGATCCGGCTTCGCAAGATTTTGGCTTCGTGGATCCGTACCGGATCCAAATCAGCAAAAAAAACAGGATCCACGGATCCGGATCCAAGGGGTAAAATATCAACCAAAAACTCCACATAAAAACTTTTTTACTCTAAAAAACCTAACCTATTGAAAAAAGAGAGATTATAAAAATTTCCTAATTTCTGAATGGTTCATCAATTTTTAGAATAAGAATAAGCGAAAAATATTTGAAAATTCTGCATGATTAAATAATTCAGTAAATCTTTGAGAAATGACCTGATCCATTCATAACTAGTGCGGATCCAGGATCCGCATCAAAACTAAATGTATCCTAAGCACTGCTTCAATGCATTTTAGACTATTTTTCAATTAGGCAAATGGTCTATTATCCAAACCAATATTGAGGAGTATCTATTTTCATTTGACATATTTAGGATTTATTCGCTACAAAGTGGATTTAGATCGAATAACAAGTAAAGCCTCACAATCTATATATTTAAGAGAATCGTTGTGAATCAGACAATTCCTTTTTTCCGGCCAGTGCTTAGGATCCGGATCTGTTGGATCAGCAAGATTTTGGCTTCCTGGATCCGGGAATCCGCAAAAATATGCGGATTCAAAAATATGGCGCATCATATTTTAGGAAAAAATAAGCAAAAAAATAATACAAAAAATTTGAAAATTATATTTTTTGAAATAATGCAGTAAATCTTTAAGAAATAACCTGGATTTTTATACAGTGCGGATCCAGGATCCGGATCAAAATTAAATGGATCCTAAGCACTGCTTTTCACAATGACAATCAAGCTTGCTGTACTCACCTTTCCAGATTGAAGATCAACCGCGATCTTTGCATGCTCCTTGCTGACAGTAGGGATCTGTATTCTAATATCACATCCCTCACCTCGACCCAGTACACACTCCTTGACATTGGAAAATTAAACTCACTACATAAAATTGCTAATACTACAATTTACAACCAATAAATCTAAAATATTCTGATAAACTAAAAAACCCTTTACCCCAACTCTGGAATAACGAAACTTAAATGCCAATTAAACATTAACAATAATGGTTGTAAGTATACAGAAATAAAAGGAGGGGAGAGGACCAGGGGAGTCAAAATAAAACTCATCTTTCTCCATCATGAATCGACTTAACGCAAAATAGTTAAAATTTCGTTGTTTCGAATACCAGGGTCTGTCATAGAGAACGCTTTTTGGCCCCCCCCCCCCCATCAATTTAAAAATGAGCAACATTTTTCAACAAAATAATGATATTTACTTTGTTTTGTTCAGGGTTAGGTAAATACAATTTCTGGGCCTAGTATTAAGACTTCTTAAACAAACTTTTATTAACGCAAAAATATAAATACAGAGAAGGTTTAAAACGTACAAATATACAAAGAAAAACACGAATGTTAGAATTTAAATATAAAAATTACTTATCGCAATTAACTCTCTATGTATATGGTTTTATGAGATCAATAATAACAAAATCAGCTTTGTTCAAATACATACAAATACATAAGGTTAGGGCTTTTTGCCACTAGCTGCTGCATTTGAAAAACTTTACATATACGGTTAAAGGCACAAAAATATTCCTGAGTGCTAAGGCTAAAACAGGATGTGGCCGGGTGCTGCGGCCACATGCCCAAATTGGACCATGCGAAACAAATGAGCTCTTTGAACAAAATTGGGTGTCTGTCCTAGAAAAAGATTTCTGGACCAATTATACCATCTGTTAAATTAAGATTCATGTACAAAATTGATGGTCGAAAGATCCCAAAAACGTTCTCTAGGAATTTATCACAAATTTAATATGAACCAAATGATTAAATTAAATTATTGTAAACAAATATATATTGCGTAGGTGTACACTGCTCACAGATCAAAGATCAAATGTTTAAGCTTGTTTCACTTAATCATTTCAAATTTTTTGGGCATAAAACCCTTACAGAACCAAATAACTCCTGATCTTGAATATGTTTGAGTATTCCTCCGGCTTGTATACTGTGGATGCTGTGAATAGTGACCAGGAGGTTCACGAGGTTTACAATAACACATCAACTGCCTAGCTTTGTCACTTTCTAGTTCTGCGGTATTGTACTTGGTAGTGCTCTTAACAGGTATAGAACTAACTACAGTAGCATTTTCAGGAGATTATTATCTGTCTTCCTAAATTTTTCTGAAAAATATTGTACAAAAAAATAAATGTTTAGGAACATTAATAGAATTATACTACTAGAGTACTACTTACTACTCTAGTACTGCAACTAGAGTATTACTACTATAGTACTGCTACTAGAGTGCTACTAGTAGAGTACTACTACTCTAATACTATTACTAGAGTAGTACTACTAGAGTAATACTACTGTAGTACTGCTACTAGAGTACTACTACCAGATGGAAATATGTAAATATATTAAAAAACTCATTTTTCTTGCATACAACTATGCTATTGTTTTTCACAGAAGTTAAATACTAGCGGATATATGCTGCGTGTTAAATTGGTGTATTTTCATCATCAACGGCCGCACCTGCTTCACCTTCTGCTTTCCTCTTTGATCTAATACAAAAAATATTAAATAATATATTTATTTTTTTGAATATTAATGATTCAGTTTATATGAGCGGATCAATAACTTTGCAAAGTATATAACTTGCAGATTAAACAGGTAAACCTATTTATGCCGTTATCTGTAAAATTTGTGTGATTGTGCTCAATTTGTTTGTTGACACTCAGGGGTGGCCGGTGACTGTGTTAGGTAAAACAAATTTCGAATTTTTAAAAAAAAAAATTTTTAACATTTTTTTCCCACGACAACGCCGGGCCCTTCAGCTAGTTCTATATATATTATATATCTAAAGATACATAGATATATTTCTATATACACATATATAAAACAAACAAATAGACAGACAGACAAGGCAAATCTTTATAAATCTTTATAATCTTTATCTACCTTAACACCCTCTCTTCCCTGGCAATCGCTACCTTTCCTTTAATCTGTTCCTCCTAAAAGCAAAAAATCATTAAATAGAAATAATAAATTTAACATGTAAACAAAAACAAAACGTTTACCAATTTTCTTTATTCAATGCATTACATTGTAAACATTGTATATTGTAAACAAATATATATTGCGTAGGAGTACACTGATCAAAGATCAAAGATCAAATGTTTAAGCTTGATTCATCAAATCATTTCACATTTCTTTTGCATAAAACCTTTACCTAACCTAATAATGCAATATATTTTATTAACCATTTCCCTTTACCCATCAACTTTCCCTAACAACTTTACCCACGTTTAAAATAACAAAATTGTTCAAATACAAAAATATGGTTTGTTGATAAATTTAAAATTCTTACTAATGGTTTTTAATGTTCGAATAACAAAATTCACCTCCAGCAATTTCTTCAACGCTTGAACCTTCTCCTTCTGTAATTTCATCCTCAACGAAACTTCTCTGCCAAACCCATGGAACTCATCCTATTCATAAATTATTTGCATATAAATAAATCTAAAAACGAACTTATTCAGCATTAAATATTTATTACAGGTATTTCTCAATGAGTTTTTAAATCTGTATTAATAGTTTTCACCTGTTGATTTTCATCATCAACGGCCGCAGAACCATCTGACGGAGCACCTGCTTCACCTTGAGCTTTGTTCTTTGATCTAATACAAAAAATATTAAATAATATATTAAATTTTTTGAATATTAATGATTCAGTTTATATGAGCGCATCAAGAACTTTTGCAAAGAAATTACTTGCAGATTAAACGGGTAAACCAATTTATACCGTTATCTGTAAAATTTGTTCCTCACATTCTAAACTAACTAAATCAGAGCAAATATTTAATCGAGATTAGGAAATAAGTCAAAATCTAATATTACAACAATAAACTTGAGTCAGGGCTAAAAACATGGAAACATGGATGGCAAACGTGTAGAACGGATGGAAAACCTAAAATCATGGATTTATGACCTGAATAATGGATCAAGAACTGCGTGAATGCGTTGATTTATAATTAGAATAATTGAGGGGAACTAATCATAAACAATGATTATAAAATATAAAGAAAAACGTCAGTCAGAAATTGAAAGTTAATTATTTGTTTAAAAACAAAAAAAAATAACATCACAGATTAACATGAAGATGATGGAGGAAGTAAGAACGGCCTCTAATAAAGTGCGATATAACTTGTTTAACTATTTATTTTTAACAATACTCAATTATCATTTTTCAGATCACACAAGTTGAGAGTAAAAATAATTCAAGTCTTCAGACAGTGGCTGCGGAAATATCGTCTAAACCCCCAACCACAACCTCCAAACCCCGAGAAAAAGAAAGTCGTAGGCTGCAAACGTCGAGGTTGATTTGTTTTTCTCATTTTGGCATATGGAACATTTTTTTTCAGTAAGACGGACATAATTATGTTCAAAAGAACAAATTGTTGAATTTTTAAATTAGTGAACAATCCCTAAATGATTTTTTTCTATCTATATAAAAAAATGACATTCATATATATATATCTATCTATCTATCTATCTATAGCCGGCAAAATGACCGGACCGATTGTGCTGAATTTGTTTGTTGACACTCAGGGATGGCCGGTCAATGTGTTAGGTTAAAAAAAATCGATTTTTTTTAAAACCCTTTTTTTAAAATTTTTTTTTCCACGACAACACCAGGCCCTTCAGCTAGTTCTATATATATCTACAGATACATAGATATATTTCTATATACACATATATAAAACAAACAAATAGACAGACACAAAAAGCAAATCTTTATAAATCTTTATAATCTTTATCTACCTTAACACCCTCTCTTCCCTGGCACTCGCTCCCTTTCCTTGAATCTGTTCCTCCTACATACTTACTTCGTTGACTAGTGGAAATGTTGATCCATCTGCCCCTGACCTCTTTATAACCACGATAGCGCCGTGAAAAGACATTTTCCACCAGAATTAAATATACGTTACCATTAAATCTGAAGAAAACAATTTAACTTAATAAATATTTCACTGCACTTGAGTTTCTATTACACCCCCTCATCAGATGTAAACATTGTGTACTGCATGTTTCCCTGGCACTCGCTCCCTTTCCTTGAATCTGTTCCTCCTGAAAGCAAAAAATCATTAAATAGAAATAATAAATTTAACATGTAAACAAAAACATCCTTTACTAGCTCACCCCTTTAACTCCTTTATCTCCTCTACCCCTTGATTACTTAAAACTACTTTACCCCACTGTACAGTGAACAGCATGATTACCTGAAACTCCTGAGCTTTCTCCTGTTCAAACGATGCATCCTGCTCTATCGCCTCCTAAAGTAACAAAAACCAAAATCAAATAAGGGGCAGCCATTCAGAAACAAGGGACAAAATAGTCAGAACTGAACACTTGTTAAGCTAGAAAAACTATAACCCCTTCCACATTATTGATCTGATAAAGGTGTAATTTCAAAGAGTATCGTTGTGAATCGGGCAACCTTCTCGTAACTTAAAATAACAACGACAGTTCCTTAGAACATATTGAAAAATGATTATTCTCTAAATTAGTGATGAGTTAGTTACCTTTTCTGCGTCTGTATGCTTGACTGTGAGATTAGCTTGAAAGTTCTTGAATATCTCCTGGTTGTGCAGCTTCCGCCCTGGCAGAGCAAGCAGCTTCTCCGCCCCACCCTTCTTCTTCCAGTCCATTAAAAACCTGGTAGGCGGGGCCAGATCTACAATATTAATATATAATTAAGTGTGGTGAGATCTAGAATATAATCTGTTAGTACGCGTGGCCGGTATAGAATATTAATCTGTTAGTAGGCATGCCAAGATCTAAAACATTATTTTTTAGAATTCTGCCCCAGATCTTGTAAAATAACCAACAAATATATATATAACATTTTTTATCTCTTAATAGGTGTGCCCCGATATACACATTAATATCTTTATTTCTTGTAACTATGATGGAACTATGGAGATTTAAAAAGCAAAATTTAAAAGGTAATATTGTTTTTCTAAGAAGAGCGCCTACGTTGACAAACCAAAAGAATTAATGCAATCAGGCATATAAAATTAGAATTCATACCTACGGTTGTGACAATTTCTGAAGTATCACTCAATTGTGCTTTAATCTCCTCTACAGTTATAGCTTTCACTTCATCAACAATCAGCTTGCGCTTCCTTAACATTAGATTAGATTATTTAGTTATTCTCCTTAAAAATGAGTTTACACAACTTAATTAATAACATGCTTTTAGGGCGCTTCTCGCCCATCTCCTACTTAAATTTATTTTTATTTTTTTTATTTTTTTTATTTAAAAAATTGTTATACTCGATTTTGGTAAAATAAATTCTATAATCAATAAACCTTCCCTGGGTTCACGTCAGGTACGACAAAAAATGTGTGTTTAATCGCTCCAGCACTTTAGACGTTTATTGGATATAAACAAGCAGACAGACATACAGGGTGTCCCATAAAACATGACAGTAGGAAGACGACTTGAAGATCGTCTTTGATCTTATATGTCTTTAAGTCATAAACAAAATATTAAATTAAAATTCTTTAGTTAGCAGTCACAAATTTACCCATTTTCTTAAAATTTCCAAATTGTCGTCTGAGTTTTTGAGCTTTCAATATTACTGGAGATATGATAAATTTTCCTAATATCTTGACAATTTTGGTGTGTATTTAATAAAATTGAAATCTGAACGAAATGCATATTATCTCCGATAATATTCACTGCACAAAAAAAACATTTCGGAAATCCCCTGACCAGGAAAATGTTGTGGTTATTGTTTGTAATATCATATATGTCAAAGTTTGTTGACAACTGAATGTCACAAAGGAATTTAAATTTAATAACGACTTCCAAATCGGCTTGCTCTTGTCATGCTTCGTGGGACATCCTGCATTTACTCCTTTAAATCATTAAATGTCCAAACTGAAATTTTTAATTTACTGATTTTAAATTATATGCACTCGTTATTGTTTAACATGTACCTAATGGTATCGTGTGAAGAAGAGGGCGATGCAGGGCAGGGAGTTAATCTCTCATGTGTCTGCAAGGAATTATAAAAAATATGTTCTGTTTGTTTAATTAAGTGTATAAAATGTCAAAGAAGATGAAATGTTAAACTTTTCAGTAAAAATTGACAAATAAAAATAAATAATTTCATTTATGTTTCAATGGTCAAAATGCAATTGAAACTGATAGCTTCCTTGGATAATGATGGACCAGTTAGAATTGTGTAAAATCTTAATAAAACACCAAATTCTTTAGTATTAATAACAATGGTGGTTGTATTACAAGCAAAACAATGAGCCTTATTATTATACATTGAACAATGCGGTCGTTGTATACATACTACCTAGGGCATGTATATAGTTACGGATAACCATTCCAATAAATTACAACCTAAGATATTTTGCTCACTTGGTGCCACTAAGAGATGTCCAAACCATATATTTTTGCCTCTGTATAAAAGAAATTACCTTTTTAAGTATATTTCATCACTGTAATTTAAGTTGCATACAATGCAACTTATGACCAGGGGAACTGGCTGGTAGTTCTCTCTAAATGAAATTTTTTTTTATTTAGTTATTGTCCACTGTTTTAAGAAATCAATGTATATTGTCTTGAAAAATACATTTTTTGTAATAAAATAATTAAGTTATGTATCACCACTAATATTATACAGTATGTTATAATGAAATAACAAATATTTTTATTACTATTTTGCAGCTCATTGATTTTAACTTTTAAATCAAAAATTAGTGTAACTTGTAGCAGAAATTAGAGTTTACATCTTATTGTTATTACATATATGTATATGAAAGACTATGATTATAATAAAAAACATTTAAATATTAAATTTAGTTCTGAGGTTCTGTAAGGGAAATTATATAATTCAATGAACTAACTTTGTTAATAGCTTCCTGGCTCTAGCATTCTTGAGCCCCGTGGCAGTTTAAAATTCAGATGATGTTTCGTGGCTGAAATAGGAAAGTAACTTTATAGTGTTTAATGTTACATTTTAGGTTTTACCTACTTCATTCCGTCTTTAGTCAACTTAAGTTGATGTTTAAGTGTTAAAATAGGAATATGAAGTTGCTAATTCTCATCTTATCAATAACTGGCGTATACACCTGGCTCTCATTGTGGATCTAAATTAAACCTCTCACATAAAACAATTTTTGTACCCAAACAAAATTTGTATAAGATACAAATGATCAACTCAGAAACAAATGCAATCAGAAATGTAAACTTTACCGAAAACAAAATAAAACATTTGATATGTTCGACACCGTTCTACAAGCAATATTTGATGATAATGTTGCAACAGGTTCGTTATTTATGATCTGCCCAGGGCCGTATCCAGGGGGTGGGGGGCTTAGACCAACCCTAACGGAGCAGGGAATAGATTTCAGGAGGTTTGCATGCCCAAACGGTTACTGAGTCCCCCTGGAAAGAAAAAAAAAACAGCCCTCCCCCTGTGCTAATTCCTGAATACGCACCTGGATCTACCATACAAGCAACATACTCAAATGACAAAGAAAAACAATTTTGGATAAATTTAATAAATGTTAATTATTTTCATCTTTATTACAGATTAACGATATACAGTTAACTTTATCTCTGTGTGTTGATGAAACATTTCTATGCTGTACATCAAAACATATCTTAGTGTGACTATTTTAAAGGAGAGCCGTTGTGTGAATTTTAATATGAAACTTATGAAGAAATAAGAAATTGACAAATAAATTACATAATTTCTTGTTTCATGAGAAATGCAATCATAAAATGCATTATTTCTAAGTTTACTTTCAGAAACATTGACTATCAACTACTTACACATATGCCGGCTTAAAGATGTGACACCAAGCAGGTCACCACACAAGATGCACTGCTTTTTAGGTTTCATGTTTTCTGAAATTAAATGTAATATATAGTTTACATGTATATACACCATACAGGTATACAGGAGAAATGTCTGCAGACTTTTAATTTCAGGACTTTAAAGCTGTTTTAGCCAGGCTCTCTCTAGGGTTTCAGTTCTGTCCCTGAAATAAAGCAATTGATATATAATTTTTTGTCAAAAACAGTAACAGTACACAAAGGAACTGAGTTTTTGCAACAAAGTATTAATATTCAATCCATATATATTTTCGATTCAATACTATATAACAAACTATGAATTCTGTTATATCAAATTATAAAAAATTTAAATACCTTCATAGGTTTCCTCCATCAGATTACACAGATATAGGGATATAAAACTTTGGGGTTTGTTGCAAAGACTCATTTCCTTCATAAGTTTTTGTGTTAATATTTAAACTATATTATTTTTAACAAATGTAAGTAAGACTCAAGTAATACTCTATTATCAAAGGCCATATGTTTAAAAGTGATAGTTCTTTAAATCATTTCTCAACTTCCAATGGTTTAAGAAATTGTAAATTGATATAAAAAGGAAATATTTCTCAAATGACTTACTATCAAATTATGAGCAAAAGTTAAATTTTTTTTTTATTATTTCAACAAAAGCTTTAATGAAAATTGTTTACATTATTATTTTACAGGTAAGAGAATTTTAATCTATGTAGCATTGGTTGTCATTCATTTAATTTTGATCCGGATTCGGATCCTGGATCCAGGTTATTTATTTAAAATGTACTTAATTTATTTAACAAAAACAATATTAAAATTTTTTTTCTTATTATTTGTGCTTTATATTATGTAAAAGTTGATGAACCATTAAGATATGGATCCAGGAAGCGAAAATATTGGGGATCCAACTGATCCCGATCATAATCACTGCAGAAGTGCCTAAATAGAACTCACATTTCTGTAAAACTTGATATCCTTTCGAACATTTGCAAGCCTCAGATAGTCTTCATCCTCGAAATCTACCTTGTTTCCTGGCATTACAACACTCCTAGTTAAAAAATATATTGAGATAAGTAACTTGAATATTTATATATATTCAAAGTTTGATTAAATACATGCAAGCTATACTTAAGAAATGGACATTCAAAACAATTACGGAATTAATAATTTACCTTCAAAGCAATGAACAGTGTTAAAGGATAAATTTAACTGTAACACAAAACACAATAAGCTTAGTAATTAAACA